ATGAGATTGCTTATTGAGTTATATGATAGCATGAGATTGCTTATATTGAGTTATATGATAGCACGAGATTACATATTCGGTTATATGATAGCCAGGGACATAGCCAGAAATTCGGTTGAGGGGGGGGGGGGGGGGGGGGGGGGTGAAGAAGTAGGGACGAAAACCAACTATAAAACTATATTAATGCCAAGATTTGAACCTTTATCTTTTATCATAACTCAACATATACCCAACCAACTCATCTAAATTAACTCTTGTTGATATTTAATAGTTTTATTTTACTAATACTAACACATGTACTATATATACATATATACATACAAAAATTATATATGGGGTGGGGTGGGGTGAGCGGGGGCAGCAGTCCCCCCTGCCCCCCCCCCCCCCCCTTTGGCTCCGTCCCTGATGATAGCATGAGATTGCTTATTGAGTTATATAATAGGATGATATTGCTTATTGAGTTATATGATAGCACGAGATTGCTTATTGAGTTATATGATAGCATGAGATTGCTTATTGAGTTATATGATAGCATGAGATTGTTTATTGAGTTATATGACAGTATGAGATTGCTTATTGAATTATATGATAGCATGAGATTGTTTATTGAGTTATATGATAGCATGTGATTGCTTATTGAGTTATATGATAGCATGAGATTGCTTATGAAGTTACATGATAGCACTAGATTGCTTATTGAGTTATGTGATAGCATGAGATTGCCTATGGAGATATATGATGATATGAGATTGTTGTTGAGATATATGTTAGCATGAGATTGCTTGTTACAGCTTAAGTATATTGTTAACCATCAGTATGAGTATGATTAGTGTATATCGCCATGATAAGATATGTATGTGAAAGCAGAAGATTGTTGATAAGCTAAATGATTGAGAAAATATGCCTATTTGATAATTAGGTTGCAAGCATATAGAAATCCTGTTGAGCATGTTTAATTGTTGCTTAAGTGATCGAGAATACTTGATCTAAGTGTGTGAAACAAATGTTTTCCAAAAGTATATGTTATAGTATTTTACAGGGTTGAGTGGCGTTATACTTAGCTTCGTGCTAACGGGTTGTTTTCTACTTGTTGTTTGTTAACCCCTTTCATGTGGGCCCAGTTCTTGAGAGTGATCAAGTTAGACTAGATTAGCTTAGTGTGCTAGTTGTAGTCTAAACTCTTAGCATTTATGTCTATTTTGAGACTTGGTTGTAGACTTATTTAGATGTTTTGATGGTGCTGGACACCAGGGTTTCATTCCCCAAGTTTGTTTAAAACACTGGGGTTTCATTCCCCAAGTTTGTTTAAAGTAGTAAGCTTGTTGATGTTTAGATCCTTTCCTTGCCTGTGCAATCACCGTGTATGGTGATTGTGGCGGTGACACCTCTTAAAGTTTAATTAGTAATTAAGTTTATTATGTTTGTTTAGTATCCCTTTTTAAGTTAAGTATTGTTAATAAGGTTTTAGAAAAGTGGGTGTTACACCAACACTCAGGGACGAATTCTTCAATTACAATATAACTTAAGGACGAAAAGTGCAATTTTCTCATATATTTATTATAGCAACACTAAAGTATAATTTTTATTTCATTACAGGATCATTTGACAATATACATATTTGTATGAACTCTGCTATTCAATTTCATTTTATACATACAATAGATTTATTATAACAATAATAAGGGAGTTAACGAACAAAGCTTTCGAAAAACTACTCGTGTTCGTGTTCGGTAAGCATTCGTTCATGTTCATTTATTAAGGTAAACGAACATAAATAAACAAATTTTAGAACTCGTTTAATAAACAAACAGAGTTTGAACATTTGTATGCTCATTTGCTAAAGAGCTCGTACTGCTAGAAATCATCGTTTTTCAGTCACTTTTTCGACCACCATAAAAATAGTTGAAAATTTATATATTTTTTAAAAAAATTTCGTCAAAAGATTGGGTTGAACCGGAAAAAAGTCGGAATTTCTGACCACCTTTACTTGGTGGTCGATATTCCTGATTACTTTATCAAGAGTGGTCGGTACCAAGTAAATGTGGTCGAAATTTTTTCAATCATTTGAATTTTTGAAATTGTTATTCTTTTCCGACCATCACGTCGTTGGAAGTTGGAACTACCAATGGAAGTGGTTGGAAATGTGATTGGAACAAGGATTTCTAGCTGAATTTTGATGATTTCTTACCACTTTTTGGTGATCGAAAAAATGATGATTTCTAGCAGATCCCGCGTTTGTTAGTGCTCATTTAATAATGTTCACAAATATGATCGAATCCTCACCAAAAAAAAAAAAAAAAAACAAATATGATCGATTAGTGTTCGTTTAAAACCTAGGGTTTCGTTACGTCTCTCCCTAACCTAGGGTTTCGCACTTCGGATTCCGACCGTGACTCCTCGGCGACAGCAGCAATCAAACGGCGAAGTCTTGGCATGGCGTCCTCGGCACAGCAACAACATGAGATGGAGACAATCTCAGATCGATGGGCAGACATTACGCTCGATGATGAAAAAGGCGGAGTTGCTGCGGCTGATCCATACGAACCGACAACTGCCGACGATGCACCGGTCTTCTCGGTGGTTGGAAGGTTCTTGACGACAAAATTGATCAAAGTGGAGTATATGAAGCAAGTCCTTGCGTCGGTTTGGCAACCGATTATGGGCATGCGGGTCACGGAATTGCACGCTAACCACTTCTTGTTCGCTTTCTATCATGTGACGGACATGATGAGGGTTTTGGAGGACGGCCCTTGGTCGTTTGAGAATCATACCCTGGTTTTTCGACGGGTATGTGAGGGTTTTCTACCCAGGGAGGTGAAACTGGATACGGTGGACATGTGGATTCAAGCATATGATTTGCCCATGGGTTACACGTCCAATGTAATCCTTGAGCAAGTTGGCAATTATGTGGGAAAGTTTATTCGAGCTGATGACAGATCAGTGGGAGGGTCGTGGAGAACCTTTTACAAAATCAGGGTTGCGGTTCCAATTGATAAACCTTTGAAACGTCGTATGAAGCTGATTCGAAGGGATGGATCGTGGGGGTGGGTGAACCTAAAATACGAGCGTTTACATAATTTTTGCTTTTGCTGTGGAATGTTAGGGCACTTGGACAAGTTCTGTATGAAGGCTCGGGTCTCGGACATCCCCCGAGAGCTTTTCCCGTTTGGTGAGTGGATGCGGGCAGGCCGAAGAAGGGGGCCAAGGCCGATTGGGGAACCCTGGCTGTTACCGCCGGATGGTACGGTGAGAGTAGAGAGGCCGGTCCTGGCAGTCTCGGAAGGGACGACTTCTTCGAATGAGTGCCATGAAGATGTGCATATGGCTTCGGTAAGACAAGAAACGGAGGATGGTGTAGTGGCGTCAGCAAAACGGCGCAGGCCGGGTGTTGAGAATGAGGGTCGTGTGTCTACGACGGTTGAGGAGGAGATGGCAGTTGAAAGTGATCCAAAAAACTTGCTTGTGGCGGGTTCTGGTTCCCAGACCCGCCCAGTCCAATGAGTACGCTGAGTTAGAAATGCCGTGGCTTGGGCAATCCACGGACAGTTCGCGAAATCACGGACATGGTGTCCAAAAAGATGCCTGACTTTGTGTATCTTATGGAAACTAAGGTGGCAAGGGTGCATGCAGAGAATTTACGTGTCAAGATTGGGTTTGAGGGTCTGTTTTATGTGGATAATGTTGGTCTGGCCGAGGGCTTGGCTTTACTATGGATGAGGAACAATACTGCGAGTCTGATAGGCTATTCGAAAAACCATATTGATGTGGAGGTTAATATGCCAGGTTTTGAGAAGTGGAGAATGACGTGTTACTATGGCTTTCCACAACGACACAGGCGTGGAGAGGCATGGGATCTAATAAAATCGTTTGCGCCACAACCTGATCTTCCATGGGTGATGATTGGTGACTTTAATGATCTGTTGTACCAGTACGAGAAAAGAGGCGGAAACCCGCACCCAAATAACTTGCTCAGGGGCTTTGGTGATACTATCGCACCGTGTGGATTATCTTAACTACCTATGGAGGGATATCAATTTACATGGGAGAAAGGGGAGGGTACTGTCGACTGGATTGAGGAGAGACTAGACAAAGTGTTAGCCATGACTGAGTGGTGTGGAATTGTGCCTCAGAGACGAGTAGTCAATCTCTTCACAAGAAAGTCTGACCATTCGCCATCTTCTTGAGTATCCACGATCCTGGGGGAAGGGAGGGAATGACGAGGAGAAGGTTCCGTTTCGAGATGTCCTGGCTACATGATGAGGGGTATAGGGAGGTGGTGAAGGAGGCGTGGGGGAGTGGAGGGGTGGAGGGGTGCAGGATTGCATAGAGCATTGTGGGCGACAGCTGTCGCGCTGGGGAGGTGAAAGGCACCATAATTATGGTGAGCAGATCTTACATCTTCGGAAAGAATAGTTACGCCTAAGGGGACATATGGATCCAGTATCTCTTGCTGAATACCAGCGCCTTGAAGGAACCCTGAGCCGTATTGAGAACCAGGAGGATGCCTACTGGAAACAAAGAGCCAAACAACACTGGCTGAAAGAAGCAGATGCAAACACGAGCTTCTATCACAGGTATGCCTCTAACCGAAAGAAAAAGAATACTTTGTCTAGAATTCAGAATGATAATGGGGATTGGGTGGAAGGAAATGCCATGCATGCAGTTGTGATAGATTATTTTAATAAAATCTTTACTTCGGATAATCCTGCTGATGGGATGGAGTTTTTTGCAAATATTACTAAGAGAGTCACCCCGGCTCAGAATGAGTGTTTACTCCGGCCTTTTGAGAGAGAGGAGGTTAAAACTGCTTTATTTGCTATGTTTCCTGATAAGCACCAGGCCCGGATGGAATGAATCCGAGATTTTATCAACATTTCTGGGATATTGTAGGGAGGGACGTGTCAGATTTTATTTTGGAATGCTTGAATACACGATCCTTCCCCTCTAAGTTGAATGAAACTAATGTGATCCTAATCCCCAAGAAGAGTACACCCGAACGAATGACGGATCTCAGGCCAATAGCCCTGAGTAATGTGGTATATAGAGTGATGGCCAAGATGATTACAAATAGAATGAAGCCGTTAATGGGTAATATTATATCTGACTCTCAGAGTGCATTTATACCGGATAGACTCATTACTGATAATATTCTAATAGCTGCAGAGGTGGGGCATTTTTTGAATCGAAAGCAGTGTGGGGCGATGGGTTGGGGAGCCCTAAAATTGGATATGGCAAAGGCATATGACAGGATGGAATGGCCTTTTGTAAAAGGAATGCTTTTGGCTCTTGGTTTTGATGTGAGATGGGTGGATCTAATAATGCTTTGTGTGACTACAGTATCTTATACTTTCCTTGTTAATGTGAAAGTCAATCTGTAGTACCTACTCGCGGATTGTGCCAGGGGGATCCACTGTCCCCGTATCTTTTTATTATTGGTGCTGAAGGTCTCTCTTTATTATTACAACAGGCACAAAATACGGGTTTGATTCATGGTCTGTAATGGAGTCAGGCGACGTATTGGGTCCGGAACTTCTACACTCATATGGGAGCATCCATGGCTTCAGGATGATACTGACCCAATGATACATACTGAGATGCCTCCACAGTTGGCTGTAACAAACCTCAAGCCAAAACGCAGCGTTTGATATCGGCAGTTAGCAGTTAGGCAGTTATAACAGGAATTGTCCTTTTTGCCCTTGTTAGTTGTAGCCTTGTAACTACTTAAACTGTCTTCTTTAGTTGAGAAGGGGTTAATGAAAATACACATCACTTTCTTCTTAATTTTCCTTTTCTTTTCCGAGTAACCGTAACACCTGGTATCAGAGCTTCCGACTCCATGACAAACACACGCAGAGATTACGACGAAGCTGCCCGGCAGATCGCCGAGATGCAGGAACAGATGCAGGCAGTTCAGGCGCAGCTGAATGATAACCAGAGAGGCTAGTGCCGAGGCCCTAGGGGCCTTCCAAACCGGATTCCAGACATTCCAGACGGAGGTGAGGCAGTGGATGATGGCCATGGCGCAGGGGACAACGAACCCACAACCGGCAATCGCAGCTCAAATTCCGACCGGAGCACAGTCCCTTCGTTCCGACGAGGCTAGTACTTCCGTTAACCACCTTGGAGGTAATCGATCAATCCCCAACCCTAATCATATCACTAATCCTGTCGATAATTTTGCTGGAATGCACTTGGGGAACCAAGAGCAGCCCAGACATGGGTTACGCTATAATGATGACCAATTGCGTGCTCCCAGACCTAGGATAGAGTTCCCTGAATTTGATAGGGCAAACCCTAGGGGATGGATTAGGAGGTGCAATAAATTCTTTCTGTTATACCGAATTCCTGATGATATGAAAATGGAATACGTGTCATTCTATATTAAGGGGGGGATAGATGCCTGGTTCGATGGGTATATGATTGATCATGGTGGGAGAGTCTTCTGGGACGAATTTGCAGAGGATGTGTGCAGAAGATTTAGCTCCTTGGGCTTAGAGTGTGTGGAAGAAGAATTCAAAAGGCTAAGACAGACTGGATTGGTAGAAGAATATAACAGTAAATATGATGAACTGACAATACAGATGCTGATTGCACACCCCTCATTGATAGAAGTATATTTCATCATAAATTATATTAGTGGATTGAAGAACCACATAAGGTGCTTTGTCAAGACTGCTAATCCCTTGACCTTGATGGATGCATATGTGTATGCTAGACAATTTGAAGAGGGCCTAAAAGGAAATGAGTGGGTTGGGAAGGAACAAAGCCAGAGAACAAGTAGAAGCTTTGGAACACCTTCTGTGGGATCAGCAGTTAGTGTGAATAGAAGCAGGCCTGGGATATAGTTGAGTCAGGCTGAATTGGAGAAACTTAAAGAGCAGAAGTTGTGTTTTTACTGCAGGGAAAAGTGGCAACATGGGCACAAATGCAGGCCTAAAACATTCAATGTGATGACAGGCATTGAAGAAGGGCAAGTGGAACAAGAAGGGAATGAAGAAGAACCCTCTAGCCCTAAGCTTAATAGAGAAGATTGTGAGAGACTTGCTGAGGTTTCTCTCTTGGCCATGCTGGGAGGAGAAGACCTGAGCACTATCAAATTCCTGGGAAAAGTAGGCAAGAAGAAGCTAATCATCCTTGTGGACATAGGCAGCACCCATAGCTTCCTAGATCCAGTGGTAATCCAAAGCCTCAAAACAGTAACCTACAAGACCAATCCCTTGTATGTTACAGTGGCCAATGGGCAGACTATAATGTGTGAAGAAGCTTGTAGTGAATTCTCTTGGACAATGCAAGGGGAAGAGTTCCAGAGGGACTTTAGACTATTGAGAATGGGAGGGTGTGATATGGTATTGGGCATGGATTGGTTAGATCAATTCTCTCCTATCCAATTATATACAAGGCCACTGGGAATATCCTTTATCAAAGGAGGGAAGGAAATCACACTGCAAGGTATTTCTGGAAGAGTAAGTCTTAAAGAAGCAACCTCCAAGGAAAAAGCTAATTGGGCAAAAAGGGGAGCACTATGATTTTTAATCTACTGTTGTGGTTCTAATCAAACTCCTGCAGCATCTTGCAATGCAATAGAAGCCTCCATATCACCTGCTGAAACCATGGATGCCAGGGTGAAAGAAGTACTGTCACAATACTCTGATGTATTTGAGGAACCACAAGGCTTACCCCCTGCTAGACTTTCAATAGTACAAGGCTTACCCCCTGGTCCCGATAGGGTGGTGAAAGTCTAGAGAGGGGGGGGGGTGAATAGACTTTCAAGCTTTTTCAAATTAAATAACTCTTCGGTAACTTCAACTCTAAGTAACAAGTAAATAGAGCAAGTTTGTACTGCACAGCGTAATAATAGTAAAGAGTTATGCCCAACTAGTAAATTAAGTGTGCAAGTAAGTAAGATAGGTACAAATGATATGTAAAGTGACAGAGATATCTTGAATATATAAAGGAGATGGTGCACTCAATATATAATAACAATATTCAAGATTGTAAATAAATATCGTGTCACGTCGTCCGTGTGACGAATGTTACATGCAGCACGTCAAACTTGCTTAGAATAAATTAGTATTTAAGCTCGAGAAGTTTGAGTCACATGCATACGTGAGAACACACTAAACCCGGATGATTAAGATTAACTGTGAATAGTAAACGGGTTAGTCGGATGAGATAGATATATATAGCAAATAATGTAAGTGCGGTATGTAAATGAGAGAGGCAATTTATAGTGGTTCGGAAGTGGCGTAATCTTCCTAGTTCACTTTTCTCCTTTCACGTCTAGGAGAAATTCACTATTTTCCACACACAGTTACAATAGTGAACAAGTGCTACACAGGCACTTCTTCCGGATGTCTTGCACACAGCTACACCCTGCTCCGAGTGTCTCGCACACAGCTACACTCAACTCCGAGTATTTCGCACACATCTATACTCAACGCCAACTAAGTGTCTTGCACACAGCTACACTTAGCAACTACGAGTGATTTGCACACAACTACACTCACTAGAGTATTTTTGCACACAGCTATACTCTTTCTACAATTTACAAATACAAGGATTTGTATTTCTCTCTCCAACTAGATTTGAGACTATTCAGACTAAGTCTCTTAGAATATTTTGAGCACTAGCACTTTTGAATTTTGCACTTGTATTGCACTTCTATCTCGTTTTTCTCTATCTCTTCTCACGCTCTTTGTCTTCAAGTCTTCATGGCTTTTTATAGTCAATCAAATATATCCGTTGGAGTGGGATAATTTGATATTTGAAATTTGAATCTTCATAGCCTGATATTGTTGACAGTAGTAGATCTTCAATTTTGATTTGATTTGTCAACTTGCCTGACAAAGTAATTCTTTAGCACAACTTTGATTTTCTAGTTGTTTCTAAAAATATTACTTTAATTGTCAATTTGAATATCCAACGAATCTTTGAAATAAATTCATCTGATAGAATTTATTTCTAGGATAAGTTTTTATATTCATGCCTTCATAAATATTTTTCCGTTCTGATCAAATTTCTTTTAGGCAATTTTGGAGTCTTGTGGCATGTGGGTGGGCTTGGAGTAAATTCCTTCGAATTTATCCAATTTCTGATCATCTTGCTCTTTTGCCACATTGTGCTCCTTTGACTTGAACATCGTGCTCCTTGACTTTGAACATTGTGCTTCTTTCGATACATTGTGCTCTTCTGACAACATTGTGCTTCTTAGACAACATTGTGCTTCTTAGGTGGCATTGTGCTCTTCTGACAGCATTGTGCTTCTTAGGTAGCATTGTGCTCCTTCGCATTGTGCTCCTTAGCAGCATTATGCGCCTTTCAGATTTGGTCACATTGTGCTCCTTTAGTAAGCATCGTGTTCCTTAGCAGCATTGTGCTCCTTTCAGATTTGGTCACATTGTGCTCTTTTAGCACACATTGTGCTCTTTTAGACACATCGTGCTCTTTTAGCACACATCGAGCTCCTTCAAAATCTGCCTTAAAAAAACATAGGTCCTTGGGAGGGAATCAATCTCGGGTGTAATCGTTTAGAGTAAGAACCTCTACCATTTCGCTGTTAGGCTCATCCGGTCATTCCTTGCAACGCCATTGCTTTATGCTTCTTTCACGGATGAATACTCGTAGGACCAAAATTAATTTCTCAAATTAATTTTGTTCTTCCTATGGTAGATTCCTTCTGATTTCAATATTCTGATTTATGATGCTTGTACTAAAGACTTAAAAACTAAGGGGATCTAAAGATACATTTGGCTCATCAAAACATACAAAAATATTCCTATCAATTTTCCCCCTTTTTGATGACGCCAAAACCTATACTCAGTCATTTGGCTTGTCTTTTAAAAACAATTATTTTTCAAAAGATTTTATTAACTTAGACATAGCCAAGATGAGTTTAACAAATGATTTTGACTCTAGGAAAGGTATTTTTAGCCACTATATTCCTATTTCGCATTTTTGGAATTTTAATGATAATGAATTTTTGCATTTTTCCAATTCATGTGATTTGATACACTCTAAGCTAAAAATATTACCTTTCAAGACAAATAAAATAAAATTAAGAAACAACTTAATAGCATCATAAACAGATAGTTCAAATCATTCCAAATTGTTTCATGGGTTCATGTACCCGTGGACCACAAAAATTGTACCAATCATACAAATCATCTAATCACTTTGTTTCTCTTTTCCTTGAGCACATTGTTAATATTGTTCTGAACATCAACGAAATTGTCACTAATGGCAAAGTTGTTGCATACCTGCCCAACTGAATAGTAGTTGAAAGCTTCAGTGATGTTGCTCCCGGGCAGTATACCTTCCTCATACCATATGATGCACTCTTCTAGACTTTTTCCATCTTGTAGCTCGGCATCATTGACTT